GCTTTGTAAATGTGTATTCAATATATAATGTATATTTCTTAGGGAAAAACTACATACATACATAAATATACTTATAAATCAATGGTTCACTTCAATTACTATTTAGATTGGAATTGAATGCGCGTTTGAGGACGACATCAAAAAAAAATTAAAATGTATGGAACATGGACGCTGTTTATCCTCGATTAATAAGCATTTCGTCGCTTATAGTTGCGTACGTTATTGGCTAAGCAGCAGGCGAAAATGAAGCCGACCAACTGTGCATAAAATAAATAAATTAATAAAAAAATAAATAAATTTAACATTTTTCATCCACTCACCTCCACACCAATCAATCCCAAACCAACATATTTGGCTGTGTCAGTACTGAAGGACATGAATTCCTGGAATTTGCTACGGCAACCGCCATAGACGTTCAACGGATTCGCGCAGTTGTCATTCTCACAACAGCTTGGCGGTGGGCTCTGCAGTATTACAACGTAGTCGGTGAAACCATTCTTGCCGCAACATTTCAACTGTAAATGGAGACACATTAGCACAATTGATTGCACATCTCACACAAACACACAAATGCTCAGGCAATATCAATTTTCACTTACCGAACGCTGTATGGCATCGAAGACGCCCGACTGGCGTGCCTCTTTCTCCCAAGCCTTATCGATGACCTCACCCATTGCTGCGGTAAATTTATCCTTATTGGTCCATAGGAGTACAACAATAGTCAGTTGTAGAATGAGTAGCACCAACAGGAAGACGGCATAAGTCATAGTCATGCATACGGATTCACGTATGGCGCCACAGCATCCCAGGAATGAGATGAATACCACAATTGAACCAATAGTAATGAGTATAATTGGTACAATGGCTTGTGGTGGGAAACCGACTTGGCCATCGACCTCGATAGTGCCGATGTTGTTGAGAATTAATACACCAAAAACGATGCCCAAAATGCCAATTATCTGAAATTGAAAAATGTGTGGTTAATTAATTGATTTAGATTGCTTTGTAATTAAATATGTAGATGTATGTTTGTATAAAAAATATATGTATTTTTTTTTTGTTTTTCTTTAAAGTCAGTAATGGTTTTTAAGTCCACAGAAAGCGCAAAGTTGCCATTTGCTTAGTGTTAAGAACCTCACTTATTTTAACTTTTGGCGACTTCGAAGTTTCCAAATTTATGATGATAAAAGATTAATATTACTGACACTAAACCAACAAAATTTAACGTGACAAA